GGCAGGAACGGTGCAGTGCACATGACCGCGCTCAGGCATCGATCAGATGATGGCCTGCTTCTTGGCACGGCCCGCACCGCCGCGCGGATCGTAGCATCTGCTTAGCTCGAAGCCTCTCCGAGGCAGCGACCTGGTGGCCAAAGGGCAAGACGGCTTGGAACCCTGACTTCTCTAACTTCTCTGACTCTGGGATTTCTCGGATTTGCGACCCTCCAAACCTCAGGTCATGCACGTCGCATCCATGAAGCAGAGCTTTCGAAGAAAGGCACCGTCAAACACTCGAAGAACACGTATGAGCAAACAAGTGCCAGGTCCAAGAGGCTTACGAGCCACAGGGCGTGCAGCTCTCGGCCTTGGCCCCGGAAGCCGCCGAAGCCTTTCAGTCTCCGGGAAGGTGCTTGTGACCTGGCCTTCCTGGGACGCGTGCTCCTGGCCGGTGGCGCATCTGCACGTATCGACGCGTACACTCGCTGAGCCAGGCACGTGAAAGGTCAGAGGGACGATGTGATCGGATACAAGGCGCAGTGCCGTCGCATCAGTGCAAACCACAGGGCGCCCAAAGTGCGCAGGACATGCTCCTCCTCGGGAGTTGTAACGTCACTGTCGTCCCGACTGGTGGTTCCACTTTCAGCTACGCTGCGACGGCGATGTGCCCCGATTGCCAATCCTTCTCGTGGCTCATAGCTTTGGTCTTCTCCCGACTGAGAGGTATCATACCGTCAGCTTAAGAGATGCCGGAGGTCCGAAGAGGAACTGCGGCGAGCTGTCAGATCCTCAGCTCCGCAGAAGCATCTTCTTTGCCATACCCTCGTTGAGAGGCAACGCTGGCCCTACGAGCGTTTGTTCCCGGAACCACGTCAACAGCACAGCACCCGGCTGGGTGGAAGACCTCAAGGTCAATCAGTGCAGACCCCGCTGACAGGCTTGACCTCGACCGCAAGTGCCGCAAGCACTCGAAGGTGCTCCGTTGTGCGGCATTCTCGGAACTAGCTGGACTTTATTGTTTCATTTGGAGCTACCGTGTGGTCGCAGATGCGACTTGCAGTCGAGATGCACCATCGTCATTTGTTGCAGGCACATCCAAGAGGGCAGCCGCAGTGTTCTGACGGCGGATCAAAACTATTCTCGTGGGTCCTCCAGTCTTTTGGAATGCTTTTCCTTCCGGCAGAGCCGCAGCGCAACTCTCGAGGCTCCTGTTGCCGTGACTTCCGGCTCAAGCTCTGCGTAGACTTTTTACAACTCTGATGAAGACCCATCGCAAAGCCGCACCCCGTCTCTGGGCATCGCAGCCACGACTCCCAGCACCCGCAAGCACAACAATGACCGTTTCTGATTCTGACACCGGAGCGACGGAGAATGCGGAGCCTGCATGTCCCGGCCCGATGCACTGGAACAGGAGCTGTACGAGACGGTGGCAGACAAGCAGGCCGAAATCTGTTATCTTTGGAGACATTTTTGTTTTGGAGAGACTGCATTGGCCCAGCCGAAATAAATTGTGCATGCACTGGCCTGCCAGACGTTTTGGTTCTTGTGGCTTGGGACACGCTCGGAAGCCCGTCTTCAGATTCGGAGAAATTTCACAGCCCCGCGTGACGGAAGGCATTTCAAGTAAAGCTTCGACAGCTTCGGTCGGAGGTCCGCCTGGTGGAAGCCAGTTTAGAGGCCATTGCATTGGGCGTGGGCTTGGAAATGTCGGCAGAGAAGTGAAGAGCCTGAAGCTTTTTCAGCCCAGACCCACGCATTGGTGAGCCAAGTACCATGCAGGGTATTTAGTCCAAGTTGCGAGGACTTGATCAGAACAATGCACACGCAACCTTGCTTGTTTGCAAAATGGCAAGCCTTTGCGCTTCACGTCAGGAGACCACACTCGCAGAAACAGGGCCCAACTTTGGCAGGCGAAGCAATCGACAAGACAAGCAAAGTCCCGGGTTTGTCGTAGCCGAGTTGCCATTGTTTGATGCCTGGGGCCCGTGACATGACAAGCTACTGCGTCCCTGATCGTCCATGCGAATTTGCTGCTTCGTCCTTGCATGCGTCGCGCCTCAGGATTTGATTAGGCAGATGGAAGAAAGGTTGCTGTGCGATGCTGTCATGGTCCATTTGGACATATTAACATCTCTGCTACTGTGATGCCAAAGTTCGTGCGAAGCTTGTTTGCTCCTGGGCCTCCCTCGAGTATTTTTGTCAATAGTGCGAGGCGCTTCAGCAGAAAGAAAGCTGGCTGACACATGAGCTGGTGCAGTGCCCGGAAGCAACTGTGAACCGCTCCGCTTCTGGTCACCGTCCTGTCTTGCTGACGATGGTCAGTGGCTGGCAGGCAAAGCGCACGAGAGTTCGGACAGAGCTCCCTTCTGTCGATGATTTCGTTCAAGGCGCGGGAGTTCGATCGAAGCCTTTCTGTTCAGTTGAGGCTGTCAAGATCTCAGGATCCTTCCTTTGCGTATTTTCGAAGCTGGGAGCTTGATGCGCCCAAAAGCAGAGTATTCAATCGGACCTGGGAGGTCGTGCGCTCGAAAGCGCGATTCCCAAGTTCTTCGATCTGGATCAGGCCAAAGATTCTCAATGCGGAAGCTAAGTCAAGAAGTATCCGTATCCGCTGACAGCTTTGTCTCACGCTGTAATGCGGTATGGGTCTGGCAGGAGCCAAAGGAGCCAGAAGAACTTCGGAGCGACGAGGGCGAGAGCGGCGAGAACGCTGGCGAGAGCCAAAGCCAGAAGGCTGGATCCTGCCATGCTATGCCATGCTGTGGTCGAAGAGAGCCGAGAGCCGTTGCCCTTGGTGGCCCTCGGCTAAGGCCGAAAGTGACGACTGGGAGGAGATGCTGGAGTCCCTCGGTGTGGCGAGGCGCATCCTCAAAGCTCTCTGGGAGAGGAAGGGTCGTCGTTTGTGACATCTCTCGGTGGTTCTTTCGGCAGATGCGGCTATTGCGGACTCCGCCTTCCACTCGATGCGGGCCATGGCGAGTTTCAGTTTCGGGGCGCTTGTGCTCGGATCCATTCTCTCCTCTTCGCTTCCGCGCGACAGATCGCTGCAATCGAGCAGCACTCGAAATGCTGCCCTGGCACCGGGCCGAACAGTCCAAGCGGCCGAGGCCACGTGGAATCCGAGTAGGACTCACCATGTGTAACCATGTTGCCATGTCCTCGAAGGCACGCCGAGCCCAATACAAAGCCCACCGAAAGATGGGCTGACTGCACGGTGTAGCAACTGTCGCAGCCTGAGGACATCCAAGGAGCCTTGAGTGGTGCATTGGATGCTAGCCAGGTCTATTGATTGCCATCCCCTGTTGTGGAGGTTGCTGAAATCAAGAAGAGGCATGTACGTATGCATGTGTGATTGCATGAATCAATGAATGCAGGAATGAATGAAGAAAGGACGAAAGAAAGAACGAAAGAACGAAACAACATGTCTGGCTGTTTGCCTGGCTGGCTGGCTGGCTGGCTGGCTGTCTGTAGGTAGGCGGGTAGGTTCGGTAGGTAGCTAGGTAGGTAGGTGGGTAGTCAGGAATGCATGCATGGATGTATGTTATGGATGCTATCTATGCTATGTATGTTATGTATGCTATGTATGCTATGTATGCTATGTATGTTATGTCTGTTATGTATGTATGTTATGTATGTGTGTCTGTGTATGCGTGTATGTCTGTCTGTCGGTCTGTCTGTCTGTCTGTCTGTCTGTCTGTATGTATGTATGTATGTATGTATGTATGTAAGTGAAAAAGTAGGTGTATATTGCATATGATTGTGCATTTGTTGGTGTGGATGTGTATATGTGCGTGTGAGCGTGTGAGCGAGTGCATTTGTATGCACGTGATTACGTATGTAGTTTAAATGCACATACGAATGTAGACCTCGGTCCTGTCCAACAGATGCCTGAACAGCTCCACTCAGCTTGAGGTGGTGATTCCCTGTCAATGGACATGGTCGAGTGCGGGACTTTCACCCTGCTGTCATTGGGACTTGGTGTCCAATGTGAGCAACCCCATGCGGTTGTGTTGTCAAGTCTGATCACGCGGCAGTGCAGGCAACATGTCTGTCGTCGCAGTGAGTCAAGCTGCCACGACGAGGTTTTCGCGGCATGTTTGCAAAACCCGCTTGAGTCGAGCTACGATTCAGAGGGTTCGAGTGTGCTAAACAGCAACTACTTATCACTGGGAACGTGATGTTTTTCCACGATCAGCAAATCGTAGCAATTTATGGTCAAGAAGCATGAGAATAATGCACTATGACGAGCCTCAACCCTGGAGCTGGTCAGGCCAAGTTGGACTTTGATGGACATGCTGTTGCGAACGTGCGCGAGAAAAATCGGTGCCTTCTATTGCAGGGTTGTCTCAGACAGCTGAAGCAGTCGGACCGTCAGAGTGCGCCAGAGAGGCTCTGGTGACGACAACAGTGACAACAAGCTTTATAAACATCATGCATTCCAACAGTGAATGCCGCGCTGAGAAGCGGGCACATAACCATGCAACGCCATGCAGCTAGACCGTGGCAAGGTGCGAAGGCATGTTCTCGCCGAGAAACGGCTGTGGCTTCCGGGAGCGGCTGCGAATGTTTTTCAAAAGAAAACAAGATGATGTTGCATCGAGGGTGCACACAACAGGGGCTCCGGCGCCCCTGTCATAAACACAGTAAAGTACCGAACTGAACACAGCCTCGCACGCTTACTTGCTGCACACTGCAGTCGCAGATACATGGGCCCAGGAATATAGAAATGAATTATGAGTGTCATTCTTACCCGCTCGAAATGGCGGCTCTGCGTCGTGGACACCGTGCGCACGATCACATAACACACACACACACACTCTCTCTCTCTCTCTCTCTCTATTTTCTTAATTAATTCTCTTTTCGTCTATATCATGATCACCATCAAACATCTTCTCCGCGAGCACTTGGGATGCCAACTGCATAGAAGCAAGCCTGCGGAATGCGATGATGAAGAGTTCTGTGATGTTGGCAGGGGTGAGGTAAGTATTGGTGACAGACGACTTCGGCTGAGTTCTGGGTAGCGCGACTTTGCGTCGGCGCACGGCCACAAGCGCGGCCCCCGCCCGTGTGTCAGCCCCGCGGCGGGCACTGCGGGACGTCGGGGGCTGGCGCGCGCAGCGGCCGCGCCGGGTGCCGCACCGGGTCCACCATCCCGAAAGGCGCCGGCATGGGCATGTATACATGGGCTAGGGCTAGGGCCGCCGCAGGTCTGGCGCGCTCGAGAGAGTTCTCCACGCGTAACCTTGGCACAGGCTGTAGCAGCGCGCGCCTTTTCGCTGTGTTCGCAACCACAGCGGGCGAGGTGCCTGCGGCGGCGGCTAGCACCAGCGGCGCGTACAGCCGCGAGTTGGTAGCTTGCTGCACGTGACCTGCGGGCGGGCCCCACGAGAACCAGCACACTCCCCTGCGATCCGTGGGTCGACCAGATGGTGCCGGTGATGCGGGGAGGGCGGGCCGATTCAGCGCAACCCGGCGTGCAGTTGAGCTTATTTTTGCAGTCGCAAAAAGGTGTGGGGGAAAAAGGTATTCCAAGTGATACTCTCTATAGCATACTGTATCTGCAGCTGAGGATTATACAAAATATTCTAGAGTGCATAGGTATTCTATAGGGCATTTCATACGATATTGTGTAAGGTAGACCCCAGGGTGTATCTATAGGAAGGTGGTGTGCATATGTCTACGGGAATTCATACGGGTTTGTGTCATGAACCCCGCGAGCTCCAGTGCCGCGCTGACGCGTTTAGCCGGGGCGAGTGGCTCGCGCTCCTCCGCGACGCCTCCCAGTCGCTTGAGGCATCCGCCGGGCGTGCGCGTGCGCCGGCTGACGCCGACGTTGAGCGGAGGTCCGCGCGAGCCGAAGCGCTCGTCCACCTTGGCGAGCTCCCTGCCGCCAGCCGCTCACTCACCGCCGAACCGCTCGCCGCCGGTGACGAGGCCACGCTCGCTGAGCTCCGCGACTCCAGCATCCCCAGCCGAAGGCCTCAGGAGCCGGTCGACGCACTCAGCCCGGAAGTGCTAGCACACGCCCCCGCCGAGGCTTGCCCTGTTCCAGCAACACTGCTGCTGTCCTGCCTGCGAGGCGCACGCCGAGGCTCCGCGGCGGGGCCCTCTGGCATGACAAACGAGCACCTTCGTTTGCTCATAGATGAGGAGCGCGATCTAGCAGTCCTGCACAGAGCAGCCGTCTCTTTGGCTAATGCTGAGCTCCCGGAGCCCGTGCTGGCCGCTGTGCGGGTTGGTCGCCTCGTCGCACTTCGCAAGCCCAACGGCCGCATCCGCGCGCTCGTTGTTGGCGACGTGTTCCGCCGCCTGGTTGTCCGCGCCCTATCGCGCCCTGGCCCAGCACTACGCCGCTGCCTTGCAAACGGCTTGCATGCCCTTCCAATTTGGCCTCAGCACTCGCGTTGGCACTGAGGCCCCATTCAAGCTGCTCCAAGTCGCCACCGAGTGCAACTCACGCGCCACTGTGCTTTCTGTTGACGCCGTCGGGGCTTTCCGATCACGTCTCCAGGCAGGCCATGCTCGAGGCGCTGCGCTCACGGCCCAAGTTTGAGCCTCTGCTGCCTTTTGCCCGCCAGTTTTATGGCGCGGCCAGGTGCTATGTCTGGACAGACGATGCCGGAGCCGACCATGAGGTGCGCCAGGCTGAGGGCGGGGAGCAAGGCGATCCCCTCATGCCGGCACTTTATGCGCTCGCCCAGCATGCCGCGCTGGCTGATGTCGCAACGGCCCTCATGCCGGGTGAGGCCGTGCTTGCTTTCCTGGACGACACGTATATCGTGTGCTCGCCCGAGCGGGTCGCCCCTTTTCATGGCGCCCTGAGCGACGCCCTGTGGGCTCGTGCCCGGGTCCAACTTAACCAGGGCAAGACCCGCGTTTGGAACGCTGCGGGAGAGGAGCCCCCCAATCTCTCCGCCATCCAGCCCCAACAGGGTGGCGATGTCTGGGTAGGGGCGTGGAGCTCGCCGCCGGAACGCCAGGGACTGGTCGTTCTGGGCGCCCCCCTCGGATCCGCAGCTATTGTGCGACAGCACCTGCAGGAGAAGCGCCGCCAGCACAACACCCTGCTGCAGCGCATCCCGGCCCTTATAATACCGACTTGCAGTCGGCTTGGCTCCTCCTGCTGTTCTGCGCCTCGCCTCGCGCCAACTACCTCCTCCGCATGCTTCCGCCGGACTCCACTACCGAGTATGCTCGGGAGCATGATCAGGCTGTTGCGGCCTGCCTCAGCACGCTGCTCTACGGAGACGCTGCAGCACCAGCAGCCTGCTGGGCCTCCTGGCAGGACTCCCTCCTCGCACTCCTCGCACTGCTTGCACGCCTTCCGACCGAAGCCCCCGAGCAGCTCCTCGCCAGTTTGAAC